CGTTGTTAATATTAATACAGACGGATACAGACGGATGGACACTTGCTGTGGCCACATGACACGCACACACTGGCACCGCACCGCACCCCGCACCCGCGCCCCCCCCCCGCCTCGCCTGAGCTGGAAGGAGATGGGAAGATGGAACAGCCCAAGGGAGAAGCGAACGAAAAGATTTTCTTTCTTTCAAGAATTCTTCCCTCGGACTCCGACGAGCTGGCTGTGTGTTTTGTGAGCTTGTTTGTGTCTGTGTGTCGCTCGTGCGTGTCGTCATCATCTGTCCAGCGTCCACCCATACCGCGTTGGTGCCCACTGCCCAGTCCGAGCCTGGCTGTTCTTCACTTCCTACCTAACGTAACTGCGGTTAGAAGTTCGCAGGGAAAAGGTAGGGAAGTAGGAGACTGGAGGGGGAGAGGGGGGAGGGTTGAGGCGGGGGTTCTAGCGCCTGCAGCGCCTCGAGCTTTTGCGTCGTCAGAGCCGCCATCAGCCGGATCTGCTCCTCGTCGGTGCCGCCGCACTTGGAGGCGAAGTACGCAGCGACTTCAGAGGCGGTGGCGCTCAGCAAATCGACTTCCGTGCTGGTTGTAGCAGCATCAGCCGCGCTGCCAGAAGCATCGGCGCCGTCTCTGCCGTCACCATCACCGCCGCCGCCGCCCTCGCAACCGCTGCCGCCATCTTCGCCGCCGCCGCCGCCCTCGCAACCGCTGCCGCCATCTTCGCCGCCGCCGCCGCCCTCGCCGCCGCCGCCGCCCTCGCCGCCGCCGCCGCCCTCGCCGCCGCTGCCGCCATCTTCGCCGCCGCCGCCGCGTCCATCGCAGCTCGTGCCACCGCCAGCGTTGCCGCCGCCAGCTTCGCCGCCAGCTGCGCCGACAACGCCGCCTGCTACGCCGCCAGCAGCGACGGCGCCGCCAGCTTCGCCGCCAGCAGCCACGTCGCCTCCGCCCTCTCGGACCACGGCGCCCCTCCGCTCCGGCATCACCCGCTGCAGCGCCTCGCGCCTGTTTCACAGCCGGCGGTGTGAAGAGGCGCTGGTCACAAGCGTCGGCCGCTGCGGCGCCGTCTCGCCACGACGCGCCGCTTGCGCGCAGGACTAGGAGCTCGACGACGTGGTTGACCTTGTGAAGTAAAAAAGAAGTGTGATTGGCGCGAGATTCGAGGACGAGAAAGCTCGACGAGGTTGGCTCACCTGATTGACGTGAAGTAAAAAGAATTCGGTGCGTGGCTCGGAGGAGCGAAGTGCTCGACGAGGCTAATATATCTTGTGTGTGTGTGTGTGTGTGTGTGTGTGTGTGTGTGTGTGTGTGTGTGTGTGTGTGTGTGTGAGTGTGTGTGTGTGTGTGTGTGTGTGTGTGTGTGTGTGTGTGTGACATTCACCGCCAGCACCCGCCGCTGAGACATGGCGAGGTGTTCGTCGATCGGAAGGCGGGCAGTGCGCACGCCCGCCTAGCGATTGGTCAGGGTTTAACGCAGCCCTAGGCGTCCTAGTGTAGGGCGATGTTTCTGGCGCCGCCCGACTAGTGATTGGGAGGAAGTGAGTCAATCCTACGCGCGCTGTGCGCACGCCCGCTTGTTTACGAACTAATTGCGAGCGAGAGAGCAAGCGAGCGAGCGAGAGGGAGGGGAGGAGAGAGCAAGAGGGAGGGAGGGAGAGAGGGAGGGAGGGAGAGAGTGAGGGAAGGAGGGAGGGACGGAGTGAGAGAGGTAGGGACACATGGAGATATACTATGGAGGAATTTCAATCACGGACACTCTATCGCGCTCTTG